TGATGACGTCACGTACGCGCTTTCGTCGAGCGCGCTTTAGTCTACCGCGGTTTTGTGGTGGAACCCAGGTTCTCAGGTGATACCTTCTCATTCTATTTAGTTAAATAAGCCAGAGACTGAACTTGAAAGTCTATGCGCAACACAGTTTTTACCATTTTTAAGGATTCATTTTGTTCCAGAAGTCTGGTAATACAAACAGGAAAGCAAAATAAAAATGTTAAAAAAGAAAGAATTGTGGGGTCGATACACTTAGGTTCATTCACATTATGATTCTGGCAGAGTGCCACTATATTAACATACCTCAAAAAGATGCTGCAAAGGATTAGATTTTAGTTTTTCTTCAGATCCAAACCACTGGAAGCCAGCTCCCAACAGCCCTGAAAAAAGTAATTATTTCACATATAACAAAAGATTTTTTTTATAAATAAAATCAGCAAATAATTTGCCCTTTTTCTATTTTCAGTAATAAAAATGTGGATGGTAAAATCATTTAAATTTATAAAGTAAGTCTTAAGATTACACTAACCAAAAACACATTTGTGCATGCTATAAATTTCAGCTCCCACAGAATAAACCACTGGCGATAAGGATATTGACCAAGTGACATGCAAGTTCTATAAAAGGACATAAATTGTGTAACTTAGATACTGAAACAGGATTTGTACTGGCGGTAGGCAAGGATGTGCATAAAACAAAGGCACAAAAAATTTGTCCTGCGTGGCACAAACCTACTCATACCTAAAGATTGACTTTTACATCATTAAAAGTATGTGATAGTGTGGCAATATAGCATCATACAGTGTGGGGGAAAATGCATAATGAACGTAAGGAATGAAGAAGCAAAAAGAGGTTACGCGGGAGGAAACTAAGTTGCTAAGAAATGGTGTATTCCCAAAATTAAGCGGTAGTTTTCTACACCAAGAGGATCCAAATCAACTTATCCTTAGATGTTTATTTTTTACTTACTGATTTCGAAGCAATCTCAATCAGAAAGTGATTCTAGCTCGCTTACAGAATAGGATTAAAAATAAAAACACACACAACCCAAACACTATAGAAGAATAAACTAATATACACCCCACCAACCACCACATTTGGATCATATATTTTTGAAGATCCATGAAAACATAGCCCTTCCTCAAGACATTTGGAGATCTTTGAAGAACTCACTGAGATTACTAGTAGCATATCAGGGCCTTCCTGTTGTTATGTTATTGATTTTTTAAAGTATATTTTAAATTTATGTTTATTATTTCTCAGTCACTATAAATTTTCAAAAATGTAGACATGTATCTGAAGGGACACGGAAATAAACAAAATATCCTGGACTATGGGGAGTCTCAGTCAACCAGCTCATGATTGTCCCAGAGGTGTATTTTCAGGAGGCAACTGGACTTTCTGGTTTTTTTCTTTGAGGCCATTTTGCTTTTCATTCAGGAATCTCACCATCCAGTCAGAGATGAAAAAGCTTCTTGGATGAGAAGCAAAACGTCTTCAAAAAAACCCCAAACAAACAAGAAAGTCCAATTGCCTGCTGAAAAAGCACCTTTGGGATAAAATATCCTGCCGTTGCAGATCCTCCCCGAAGCTGAGGAGTCCCGATACCCGCAAATTAACAATGGAAGTCTGCACTGTAAAAATGACCATATATAAATGTTTATGAATCTGGCTTACTGAGTCCTGAATCCTGTTTGTCATGTAAGGATTCACAACACAAATGTTCCCATTCAATGTGTAGAGAATGAAGGGGATTAGGGACAGGGGGAGCTGTGTCGTATCAGCGCCTGGGACTATTCTGCCGTGAATAGTGGACCTCCCTTTGTGTCAATAATGTGAAAGGCGCCACCGAGGCAGCCAACACAATCTAATGTTTGGACGTCATTGTTTGCATACTGATCAGATTACCTGCAGATCAAACTCGGGATATTGAATCTATTTTAGATTTGGGCAATATTAAACTCTTTGCTTTGCATTCTTGCTTCATTTCATTAACAAACAGTAATTTCTACTACTTTGCAAGGGTAGAAGAATAATTTAATGTATAAATCACAGTTATTTTCATATTCTGAATGTTAAAAGGAATTTCTACAGTTACCTATTTACATAATTTCTTCAGCTCTCTCCTCCTCCCTATATTATTTCCCTTTTTTTCTTATCTTTTTTCATTTAATTTCATTGTGAATTCTTGAATTAAACAGTAATTTTTTCTTACACAGAGATTTCCCAGGTTAATTGCTTGTGCTCTGTAAGAAGACACACTGGGAGCTAAGTGTGGCAATAAAAGCTAAAATACAATTGTTAAACTCAGACATTATTATCTGATCTCAGTCTGCGAGGAAATGGTGCACAAACTGTAAATATGGAATTAATAAAGCTAGGTTAAAACCTATTCAAAATAATAACTGCAGGAAAACAGAAGCTTTGTGCTAACAGTTTGCTTGCCCAGCAGATTTCAGAAGGACACAATTTAAAACCACACACGTCCAATCATAGAAACAGTGACAAGAGAAACAATAATGAAAACAATAACAGAAACTAATTATTATAATAATATACCAGGGAAGATCTGCTATTTCAAAAAAATATGAAATTTTGATGTTTTGAGCCACGATCATATAAACTCAAAGCACCCTGGAACAAATATCGAATGTCAGGCATGCCTCCTTCAATATCCAAGAAAGAAAAACCTCAACTCCATTTGAATAGAGATAAAGTACTTTTACTAGATATGAATTGAAAGCAGCGAAAAGGAAAGCAAGATCTGAGCCAAAAAGGCACGAACATGTACATATCAAACGTTTACCTAGCACCCTCCCCCCTCCCAATTCCCCAAACCAATGCCCAATCTACATATTCCTAAGGTGTCATGTGGGGTGCATCTTCAAAAAGCCTCATCAGGTTGATATGCGAAGATGGTTGGCCTTGACCAAGTCCAAGCACAGGCCACCAGCATGTGCAAAAAATGGTGAGAACAAAACTCCCTTCTTCATAACTCCTCCAGCATCACATAATTCCCCTTCCCAAATATCTCCAGCCCTTTCCCTCCCTGTTTCTATGGCAGCCAATAGCAAGCAAGGAAAGTAGAGGCTGACATCGGGAGTTTCTTGCATGGGAGTAAAAGATTATTTTCTTCAACTGAAATAATATATTTTTCCATAGAACATTAGGATTTCACTATACATGGGAAATACAATCCCAGAACAGCTCTACAGTCAAAAGAACATGGCTGTTCTGGAATTTGTTACTGAGAAATATAAAAAGTATCTTGCACTCACATTCTTATTGTTTTTTTGGTGTAATCAAGCATGTATAGATACAGATGGGATGGTTACCTAGGTCTCGTTTTATGGATTTTTAGAATGAAGTCCAGTGATTTATCTTTAATGTATAGAACGATTATCTTAAAGAGCAAAGGAATTTACAAACTGTACATATCAGTGTTCTCAGTTTTTAAAAAATAACCTAATCAGCCTTGGCCAGCTTTGGGTCCTGCATTTCCACAATAGAATTGAAATCTTTTCATTTAAAAAAAAGCTCATTATGACAAGGTTAAAAATAAACAGCAATAGATTATGTTACACTAACCATAAGACCGATTAAAAAAAAATATTTACCAAACTGCATGCCCCAGTCTCCAAGATAATTGATTCTTGTTACTTGATGCCCAATCGCTTCGTTGATATTTGCTATGAAATTCCCTGAAAATAAATCACAGTAATTTGTCCCAGCTGTATTCTTATCTCCAAATGATCATTGTATGTAATCTAATCTCCCTTTTTAATTTTTTTTTAATTGTACAGGTACAATCAAAAGTCAATTACTGTTTGAAGCTACAATTAGTATTGCTACCAAACAAGCGATGGTTACGATTGGTCCTCAAAGTTCCAGTCATCCCAGCATCCCTCTAGTCATGGTATCACGATGTGCCAAATGGCTCACACTTACAACCAGCACAACACCATGCAGTCACATGATTGTCATTTGTGACCTTCCCTGGCAAGTTCCTATTACCTAACTTTAATAAGAAGAACTATGAGTCCACAATAATAAATTTAAGGGAATGCAAAACAGAAGGAGAAAATTTCGAGGCTTGAAAAGCACTGATTACTCCTGTAGGCTATAGTTTTTTATAGCTGTTATTTAATATATATTATCTAGAAAGGTTACAAGTTGATTCTGAGTCTTTCTTTTGAACTTTTCAATCATCTAAAGTTCTTAGATGCAAAATAATTCACTTTCGCTGTTTCAACATTTGAGTTAAAACTAGCTGGTTATTTTTTTCCTTATTCCCAAAGTCATTTTTTTTAAAGACTTTGTTTGATTCTATCTCAATCTGTTCCTCTTTTGAGAAACTTCCAAAATGCACATAAGACCCATTCAAAGCAGCTCAAAGCTTATCATGTAGCCTAAGACTAAATATTAAGTAATTAAGATTAAACATCAGCACCTACTGTTCATAGGATAGTTACAAATACTAAATAGCGAATGCTGGCTGGGGAATTCTGGGAGTTGAAGTCCAGACATCTTCAAGTTGCCAAGGTTGAGAAACACTGACTTAGACTACATCACCATATTCAGAAGCTTTCCTCATTTATAGGCTATTATTTAGTTATATTTAGATATTACCTATTAATGTAGAACGCAGGTGACCAACATGGAATTTCTTTGCAATGTTGGGTGAACTGCAAGAAATGTGAACATTCATCATTTAGGTTCCATTCCTCACCTTCCAAAAAAGGAATAGAGATGTCAAACCAGACTTTATCTCAAAACCTATTTATTTATAACCCTCCCTTCATTATTTTTACAAATAAGTAAAGGTGGTGAACATATCCAATACAGCTTCCTCCTATTTTCTCCCCAACAGCATCCCAGTAAGGTAGATTGAGCTGAGAGAAAGAAATCGGCCCATGGTAACCCGGCTGGCTTTCATGGCTAAGGGACAAAGTTATTCTCCATTTAGTTCATACTGTGAAGCATGTAAAGGAAAACATGAATGAGATGCTAATAAAGGCAAACAATATAATATGTCAGAGTAAACTGAACCATGGGCATTTCCACTGCCAATAAACTAAACACTTATGAACAAAATCAATATTGAAGGACATCCTCCAGAAATATATACTGAATGCTAAACCACAGGTCTTTAAAAAAAACAACAACAACCCCAAATTGTACTTTGCATTCAAGATCTTTCCTGTATTATTGCAATACAAAATAAGAAAATTGTGTCACAACTGATGTGGAAGCCTGCATATTCATTCAAAGAAAACTGAATCTGAGTATATCATATGTTCAGATGTAAAAAAAATATGATTTCAGTACTCCCTAAACCAAAGTGCATGCTTTACTAGAAAGTAATGAACCAAACCAATCTTAGGGCAATGAATCAATGCTGATTTTCAGACTTATATAACCTATTTGTAAACCCGCATGGCATTTTAATCATGCTCCAAAATAAACAGGCCTGTATACTCACCTAAAATCAATCAGAACTTTTCTTTTTGGCAAGTCTGAAAAAAGTTCACTCTTTATTCCATATTCAGAGCCGTCTTCAAATACTTGCTGCAGCACTGTCTTAGGAAGCAAAATACACATGGCTACAATGGGAGTAATGAATTAAGCGATGTTTTAAGACTAAGGTAATGCCTTTCATTGATATTTGCAAGATCATGAATCTCTCATTCCACAAAAATCTTCAAAGACTTCACAGCAGCTAAGCAGACATCTGCAAATGCTTTTCAAATGCAGAGATAGCAAACAGCCAATGCTAATTCATCGTTTTGAGTTTTGATTATTTTTTTGAACTGAGAACCCTCATTTTTCAATCTGCCCATAAAACATAAATTCATAAAACATGGTATTCATATCCATATAATTATATTTTTAAATAAGTTAGCAATATTATGATTAATCTTATTATGTCAATAATTGTTGATATAAATAAGAACATTAATACTCATGCAAAAATGAATCATTTTTTAAAAAAATCCTGCTTTTAGATAATTTCTACTCCTTTTTATCTGATGTGTTTATTTGTAAACTGAATTTTATTATTTTATATTTTTAAACTTACGTCATTGGGAAGATCATTCAAGTTAAAACTATGGAATAGGAACTAAATGCTCTATACGGGAATCTATTATAGAAAACACTAGCTTCAAATTTAGCATGTTTTTTTTCTATAATACAGTTCATAAGACGTTAGCTCACCTTTGCTAATAAGTCTCGATTTATTGTGAAATCTACCGTTCCTTTACCTGGGCTGATTTGGCTTACGACTGCATCACATCTTAGCTAAAATAAAAATAAAGCATATAGACAGAAGATTATGTTAAAATAAATAGAATTATCTTGTACACTGTGTTATGTAAATTACACATTTTCAAGCAGCCTCTGCAAGGAGGGCAAGGAAGTAGAACAGCATTGCACTGGGCAGCCTGCTATTTTTCTATGTGAATTTTCACACGGAGCAAGTACATTCCAAAGGGGCGGAGTTTGCGTCAAAATGCCGCTGTGTCTTTCTGACAAAAGTAGCAAGAAATTGTACACAACGTTGTTTTCAGGTGTTGCTATAGCAACTGTAGCTGGGTCATCCATGCAAACAGTATTTAACTGTATTTCAAGCAAATTTTGAAAGACCATAAATTGCAATTGTTGAAAGGTAAGAATGACTTTTTTCTTTTCACTAGTAAAAACAGCAGGGTAAAGAATTGGGTTCCACCACAAATCCGCGGTAGACTAAAGTGCGCTCGACGAAAGCGCGTACGTGACATCATCACAGCGCGACGAAAACGGCACGCTGTGAGCGGTAAATTTAAAATTAACGTGAAAACCTTACCCTAACCCCCCCAAACCTAACCCTAAACCTAACCCTAAGCCTAACCCTTAACCTAACGCTAAACCTAACGCTAACCCTTAACCTAACCCTAAACCTAACCCTAACGTTTAACGTAACCCTAAACCTAACCCTAACCCTTAACCTAACCCTAACCCTAACCCTAACCCTTACCTTTATGTGAATCGGCTTGCTTTAATTTAATTTTAATTTTAATTTAATTTATTTTTAATTTTATTTGTCGCGCTGCTGATGACGTCACGTACGCGCTTTGATCGGGCGCGCTTTAGTGGACCGTGGTTTTGACGGGTCACGAAAGAATTGACCCTCCCAAAGCCTTTGTAATCGATGGATACTATTTTTCATAGTATTTATGCAGGACAAAACATTTGATAACCACTTTTTATTGATGCTTCCAATCAATGCTTCTTACTACATACCTTGTTTGCCAGCTCTTCTGCCTGAAGATTAATATCTGAAGTTGTGTAATTCGTAGAAATTGCATCTAATACAGGACTCATAGAAAACTGGAAATCAGAAGTTTGCCTTTGAAAAAAAAAAGGGGAGAAATGTAAAGGTTCAGACTTTTTTCGTGACAGAGGGATCAGAATTCCTAAGGTTTAGAGTTAACATAGCTAGAAATTACTATAGTAACTTCATCTCCAAAAGTTTCTGAAGCAGCAAATAATCTGTGAAACTAATACTCCTAGTTAACAATATACAAGCTAGACCTTGTAGTTCCTATTATTCAAACGCTATAGGTCATAAAGTAGCACTTAAGAGATCTGTTTGCCCAAATGATGCCTAATGTTAACCACCCTTTTGGAAACGTTAGGAACTTTTAGTCTCTCAGATGTTGCTGAACTACAACTTACAATAGTCCTGGACAGCAATGCAAGGGATACTGAGAATTACAGTTCATGAACATCTGAAGATCACTGATACTACTCCTGTGTCTTAAGTAATGCTAAAAATTGTAGATTGGATTGTAAGCCGCCCTGAGTCCCCTCCGGGGAAAAGGGCGGCATAGAAATATAATAAATCAATCAAATCAAACCAAAAAATAATGTGAATTAGAAACAGAGATTGAATGAGTTAGGACTTTATCCCTAGTTTTATTTCCTATTTTATATATATGACAAAAGAATCTCAAGACATTAAATTCTAAAGTATAAATATCGTACCTATTTTTTGATACTGGAACAGCAGAGATTGATTTTATCAGGTTTTCTGGGGGGATCTTCAAAACATGTGAAAGCTATTTGAAATAAAATTGCCAAATTTAGTGTGGAAGAATAAATAGGCAACAATAATGTCATCATTTTATCTTCTATTTCATTACATTAATTTTTTTTCACATATAAACACATACAGAGGCTACATTCTTGCATGCACAGATGGAGATTCATCTTTCTTTCCTATTTCCATAAGAACTGACCCATATTTATTAGAAGAATGAATGCAATGCATCAGGGGTCCCCAACCTCCAGCCATTAATGGTTCATGGAATTGGGCTGTGGAAGCAGCGAGTGAGCGCAAGCGCAGCTCCATTCACCCAAGCAGCAGACGGATGGGTGGGTGGGAGGGCGCAAAGCTTTATTTGTGCAAGCTGTGGGCATGGCTGCAATTGGAGCTGTGTATGCATACATGCGCACGCTACTTGCACACAACCATTCCCTCTCACCTCCGCTCCCCCCAGATTCGTGAAACCGTAAAGGTCGGGGGCCATTGTCATATATTATCCTTTGTGGAACTGGAATTATTTTGTGTATCGAAGATCAGCAGTCAGATAAAAATGTACAGCTTCACTATACATTTCCTTTCTGGAACTGGAATTATCTTTTCCACTGAAGATCAACATTCAGATAAAGAACTACAGATTTGAATCCAGAAGGTACAGGGACTTCAAATCCAAGCAAGCTGCTGTAAGACAAGTGAGGGAATATCTATTGCTCCCTTTTAGGTAGCAGCACCATACTTGAATATGGACAACTACCCAACTTGAAGCAGATCTTCATAAGGAACAAGAAACAACAGAGCAATGATTCCAATATGGAAGCAATCCCTGCAACAACACTACATACCTACTTTGCCCCTATACCAACATCACAGACCCCAGCAAATACCTACAGAGAATTAGATGTGTCTTGATGTGTTCATCTTCCAGTTCACAAGAATCAATATTTATTTATTATTTATTAAATATATTTATATGCCGCCCAATCCCGAAGGACTCCGGGACATAAATAGACATCAATAAGTAAACCAAGGGCAAAGCTATATCGGAGCATTTCAATCTCACAAGACATTACAAGACAGACAAAGTTATATTTTTTGGAAAAGCAGGTCTTAGTAGCATAGATTGTTAAACGTGGAAAGGTTTCATGGTATGCTCCGACCCTGTGGAATCAGCTATCCCCAGAGGTCCGGACCTCACCCACCCTCATGGCCTTCAGAAAAGCTGTTAAGACCTGGCTGTTCCGGCAGGCCTGGGGCTGTTGACCTTATTATGTAGGGTCCAGCCCCAATCTGAATGTATGCGTGTTGGAGAATTTTTAAATTTTTATTTTGCTTGTTTTCTCTTCTTGTTCTGTGTAAGCCACCCGGAGTCCTTCGGGATTGGGCGGCCTATAAATCTAATAAACTAAATTAAATTAAATTAAATCTAAAAAGGAATCAGAAAACACAGTTTTTTCCCATATATTATAAATTCATAGGTAAAGGTAAAGGTTCGCCTCGCACATATGTGCTAGTCATTCCCGACTCTAGGGGGCGGTGCTCATCTCCATTTCAGAGCTGAAGAGCCAGTGCTGTCCGAAGACATCTCCATGGTCATGTGGCTGGCAGGAGTAAATGCTAAAGGTGCAGAGAACATGGTTACCTTCCCACCAAAAGTGGTTTCTATTTTTCTACTTGCATTTTTACATGCTTTCGAACTGCTAGGTTGGCAGAAGTTGGGAGAAGTAACGGGAGCTCATTCCATTACGCAGCACTAGGGATTCGAACTGCCGACCTTTCTGATTGACAAGCTCAGCGTCTTAGCCACTGCGTTCCTTATAAATTCATAAAGATGTGTAATTTCTCTCATAAGTAACCTACATTGCCTAATCAACCTACCCATCTTAGCATCTGATGAAGTGAGCTGCAGCTCATGATAACTCACACTTTTTTAAAATAAAAATTTTCATTGGAAAAGGGGCCACCAAATTCCTGATTTTTCCCCCCTGCGGAAGGAGTACATTACAGAGGTTTTTGAACAATATTTTCAAAAATATCTCTTTGAAAAAATAGGCAGGTATTTCAGCATCTTTGACATGCCAAAGGACAATGCATTACTTTACTGATGTCCAAATAAATTATATACACAGCATTTCCCGGATGCATGGAACAGTTTGCCTTCTGGAGTTGTGGGTGCTCCATCGCTGGAGGTCTTCAAGAAAACACTGGACAGTCATTTATCTGTGATAGAATAAGCTCTCCTGCCTTGGGCAAGGGGTTGGACTAGAAGACCTCCGAGGTCCCTTCCAGCCCTATGATTCTATGAAAAAGGACGATCAATACCTGAGCGGCAATGCACTTCCGGAAACGACACCTCGCCATCGTTCTCGTTAGAGCGGCGCTCTCCGTTTTCCCATTCCTCCGTCATGGAACAGCCCACTTGCGGGGGGGGGGAGGAGCCACTCCAGCCTGACTTCCCTTTCTGGTAACAGGGGGCGGGCGCAGAACTCGCCTCAGAAAAAGAATGCGCAGATGACGAGCGCTAGACCGTACCGTTCGCAGGGAGGGGAAGAAACGGCTGCACGCCGCTGATCCCGGAAGAGGGGACGGGGGATAGAACGGGCTCCCCACCGGAAGTCCGTTCGCGAATGTTGGCGGGTCTATTTTTGTGCCGGAGGAGGCTTCAGCCTTCGCTATGAGCACGTGCTCGGTTTCCAAGGTGAGTCAGAGGGAGAGGGAGTGGATTTAGTCCCCTCCCTCGAGGCATCTAATGGACGCCTTGCTTTCGGGTCCGCGGGGGAGTTTCAGTTCGCGATCCTGCGGGTCGCTTATTAAGAAAAGCTCACTCTTTGGCTATTGCATATTTTGTTCTTAGATATATGCAATATTACCATGTTATGGGTAGCTTTTAAAACAGTGTTCTCTTCATACTTTCCCTGAAAGCGAATCTATATCAATGGTTTCTTATGACAATAAACAGTATTTATCAAATGACCCTGTCATATTTAAAGGTTTTTTTTTAACATAAAATATCTAGTAATAAAAAGGCAGTAAATAAGAACAAACTCTTATTTTGTTTGATTGTACATATTATGTTATTTATTGTTTTGAAACTATGAACATTGTAACGTTGTGTAAGATATATAATTTTATGCCTGCTGCATTGGATTTTTTTTCCATAATAGAAAATGTTTATTTTGAAATTCATATTGAAGTAAAATATCTTGAAAAGTATTTTTCCTACCACGAAGAAAACATTCTAAAAAGTCCTTTATGAAACAGTGGCACTTGCAGATACTCAATTCTTTGTAAAAGTGAATGTGTCATATTTGTTAGTCCACTTAATAAATCCTTTGCTCATCTTAGAATAAATCTCTGATCGTTCTTTGTTGAGACATTAGGGAATATGTGCACAATAAAATGTAATTATCTTCCTTTGATGCCTGCCCTAGGGAAGTCCACGCGGAATTCACATACTTGTTTTTAACTTGAGTTGATTTGGCCCACAAACACACATGATTTCTTATGTACTATTTGGAGTAGCTCATTCACATCTACTTAGTTTACTGAAAACTGCAGAGTTAAAAATAACTATATAAATAAAAGATAGTGTTTCTAGATTTCAAAAGATTGAAATTTGGAGGAGCAAATGGTAACAAAGGAAATATAAAATTAAATAAGTACCTCACTTATTCTAGGTCATTTCTGTCCGTGTAGGATTAGGACAAAATATGTAATGGAATTAATACTTCTCTCTCTCTCTCATCCCACCCCTCTTTAGGGCTGCTTTGTATTCAAGCCAAATTCTAACAAGAGGAAAAGGTCTTCAGCAGGTTAGTGTGAAAATTTCCTGCAACAAACTGAAAATTACATGACTGCTTATTTTTTGTATGTAATATGAAAAATATGAGCGAGGAAAACTGTGGGAAACATTACCATTTTAACATGACAATGAAACACAAATGAGAGATTATGTTTAGAGGGGAAAAAACCAGAAGAATAGTTTGTATATATAAATACAAATGTGGCTACATACTCTTCAAACAAAAGTTTTATTTCATCTTGAGCTTTGTTTTCTAGCTGCAGATTTGAGCTTGTGTTTAAATTCCTCTCTCAAATGAAAAGAAATAAATCGCAATATTTTTTTCAGTGCGCTCTTAATTTTTTCTCTGAGAACTCTTAATTTACGAATACTGAGAGTGAATGCTATCTTTTTCTGTTTTTTTTCTAGCTGACTATTTCAGTAAGGGAAACAATGACTTGGATAATAGTGAGTTACGACTTGATACTTGCCTGTTGTTATGGAAACAAATTAAATCTGAAACAGCGGTGAGTATTGCTTTTAATGTTGAATGAGGAAATGGATTTCATGTCTGTTCTCTTGAGATCACAATGAATGTTGCTTGTACAGGGAAAGGCTTCTCACTGTAAATAGTTCTGTTACATGTACTGGCAACTGGCTGTTTGCTATCAGCACTGTGATAGTTACAAAGGGAGTCAAGTCATAACTCACACCAGAATTCTGTATTTATATGAACTGAATGAGTCTTCTCTCTAGACTTTTTTCTGTCAATGACACATGCTGCTATAAAGCATGGATATTTCTCTACAGTTACAAGTTGAATCCGTAACACTTCAAATGAAAATAACCAGGATACTTTTCTGCTAGAAAACGAGGAATGGATGATACGCTGCTTTAGCTCCCCTTTCCTTTGGTGTCCCACAATACATCCTACCAGTTCTGAAAGCTTTTTCAACCTCTTGAGCAATACCAGAAGGATAATTAGGGCTGCAGGAAAAAGTGTGAATTATAAAAAGTGATGACTCTTGTTCTCTCTCCTTTATTACTTGCGAAACCCGAGGATTCTTAATGTGGATTCAAATGAATCTTAAGAACAAGTTTATGCAACAATGCAGCTAGTTAGAATAAGGTATCTTAGACAAATATCTAATTCTTGTCCTGATGAAGGATGAGTCTTCTCGCTGCAGTTAGTGTATTTATGCAGAGGGAAATATTATTACTCTGGAAACAGTTACATGTGGCATAAGTTATTTGAGGATAAATCTAGCTGCATTAATAAATATGATTTACTGTGGTGTTATGTACTTCTGCATGAAATGTTTCTTCATAAATACTATGCAGAAATGTATATATACCTACATAGAAATTTCTACGTAAGTTAAATGTATAGAGATGGAGTAATGTTAATAGATTTTGTCTTAGCATTTCATCAGTTATTTTGTAGACTAATAATATAAAATTTAACTGGAATTGTGGGTTCTTTGCCCAGCAAGTTTTTTTGTCTAGCAAAAACCTGCAATAAAAACAGGTTTATTAAAAGTGCTATGAGATGCACAAGATGTATAAAATTGTGTCGTACATTGAATATTCTGCCAAAACATGAAAAGTGTATTCAATTTACTATGAAAAAAGGTTGATATATTTCTCAAAGCTTTAGCTCTTCTACTATCTTGGGATCACTAAAGTAGAGTAAAACTAAGTAGGTTAAAAGTTTTCTTCCTTCTGATGTTCTACAAAAACAGAATAAAATTAATTGTTAAGGAAACGTATGTACTTTAAATACATTTCAGTATTTACCCTCAAATTCTCATTATTGAAACCAGGAATTTAATAGATTATTGAAATTAAATAACCCAATATTAATCAGTTCCCTGAATGGTCACTGCAATTTCTAAAGCTAACAATGACCAACATCTTTAGATAACTGCTGCTTCTGATCATGATAACAAATGAACACAGAAGCCCAGAGGAAGTGCATTGTCTGTTCCATCTTCTGGGTATCAGAAACTTCTAAGATTCCCTTAAATATACATTTGTACTATTCTGTACACATACTTGTGATTAGCTATAAAGTTAGTATAAAGTTACAATAATTTGGTTGTTATTCCTGTTTATAATGACTCATCTATATATAGAAGCTTGAGATTGTCTTTTGTGGATAATTGCTTGGTGATACAATGCCACCTTACCATAATCGAATTTCCATTCCAATTTGTTTCAGATTGTTGGTATATGTTTTGTTCTGCCTCTAGCTTATGGCAGGCAGAAAATACTTCATTGGTAAATAAAATGAAATATTGTCATGGTTTTGCTAGATGCCCAAATCAAAGCTTGATTTCTTATCACTGCTGTTTAAATTAGTGGAATTAGAGTCATTAAAAACCATTCTGACAAAAAATAGGTTTGTGGAAAAATATACTTAGGTACTATAAAACAGATTTTGAACTGTCAGGAATTTCAATCAGTAGGGTTTTCACATTAAGGTGATTTATATGTTTGATTTTTATCCTACCTTTATTATTTTATAAGTAACTCAAGTGAATGAACATACCTAATACTGTTTTCTCATCCTTTTTTACCCAATAACTACTGTGTAATAATAATGAGATAGCTAGAGATATAGAGTTATAATGGAATCTATATTATGGCCTTATCTTAAGATGAAAAAATAGAATCTGTCTTGTTCCCTATAAAATATATGTTAGGCAAATCTAATACATTATATGTTTTATACATCATATGTCTAAGTTTGTAATAATTGCAGTTATTTTTTGTAGCTGTTACAGATCTCCTTCTGGGATCTAGTTGAAAAGCCTGAGGGTCTTTTTCTTTTTTACAGCAACTACAAGATGACTTGAATAAAAACCTATTTGATAATCTCATAAAATTTCTGAGACAATCTCATTTAGATTTCAAGGAAAAGAAAGCAGAGTGGATGTGTCGGATGAAGTCCAATGAAATTCCTACTGCAGCTGTTGTTCTAGGTAGTGCTTTTTCTGGTATTTCGATTTAATTAATTAAAAAGAAACAGTTACTTTAAAAGTTTTTTTTTAAAGAAATGGAACACTTTAGCCGTTGTATCACGAATAATGCAATTAAAAATAACTGATAATTAGTGTAACCTTTATGAATGGCAACCATGTGCTTTTTTTGATTTTCTTATAGCACAATATTTGAACCTTTATCATTGACTCATTCCCCCCCCCCCAAAAAAAGAGTAACACACACCCTACCGTAAGTACATGCAATTTGTGAATCCAGCTAATTAGTTCAACTACATATTTGCCCCAGTTCGTATGTCATCGAACTTAGTAGCAAAACCACACATAAGCAAACTTCTCTCACTGTAAATGTGACATTGAAGAGTTTCTTTTTGTGTCTGACTTCCAAGCTACTCTAGCTGGAGAAAGAGTGCCTGGGAAAATGTAAACTGTGCAAAGAGAAGAGGATTCTAAGCTTCTCATTTACACGATGCTCAAATGTTTGTGAATTCTTTTTAATAGTTCTGTGTAAATGTGACCGATAACGTGATCTATTTTCCACACAAACCCCAAAACTAAACAAGGATGTCTAATATTACCCATATTTTTTTCTCTGAAATCATGTAGCTTGTACCAGTAACACATGGGTCTAACTTAATTTCTCAATGATATTCTTACCCTGTGTACCTTCTTAAAGGCAATAGGATGGTTAACTTCATTTTAAATTCTTACGGAACATGTTTAAATTATCAGTGATATATAGCAGGGATGTAAAACTTGCGGTCCACGGGCTGGATGCACACCCTGATCATCTCCACCCTGTTTAATGAAGTGGAAAAAATACGTCACGTGATGACAACAATGTGACGCCGTGGGTTTGACAGCCCTGGCATACAGTATAATATGCTTTACATTTTCTTGTTCCATATAATCTCTGTGTATAGCACCCCAAGGGATTTTAAGTCAACTTTGGCATGGCCAATTTCAAATACTCTACAAGCAATATTTTATCCCATTTCAAGTCTTTGCATTTTGCAAATTGTTAATGCATTCCTAACTAACAGTTAATTTGTTGACAAGTTATTTTATGTGTGTTCCGTGCAGTTCCAGATTGTAGTTTTTTCCAATTTATATGCATATAGCACTTTTTTTTTCTTTCTTTCTAGGATAGTTCACTTGTCTTCTCTTAGGTCAGCAGCCTTTAATGCTTCAGACCATCCCACGATTTTTGTTTTAGTTTATTTTTACTTAGTTTTTCAAATCACAGGACCCCTGCAGTATCACAATCTGCTATGGTCCAAGTTTTAAATGCAGTGTAACATGCAGCAAGGGGAGCTAAAATGTTAAGGTCAAATACCTCTTACATGACTTTAATAATGATTAACCTGCCTCCATCTCCAGCTTTTCCATTCCCACCATTATTTCATGGTCTTTGGTGCAATCTGTTTTTCCCCTGAGAAAAGAAGGAAAAGAAGAATGATAATGCCTCATACAATTTTAAAAGTTATGGAAATACATTCTTTATAGACAGCATTATAAAATAACCAATTTTGGCTGTTTCCTGATATTTTTAAATACATTTCTGTATTTGTTCCTAATACCACAAAAATAAAAGTTAAGTGAACAGCTTCAATATTTCTTCTTTTTGTAGTCAAGCGCTATGCTTTTCTTTTTGTTGTTTACATTCTGGTATTTCTGTATTACAGTAAGACTCAAATGTGTGCATTGAGTTCTGGCATTATTGCTTATTATGTGGAAAAATATTAATAGTCATTGACACATTTTTGTTTGATTGATTACAGCACATGCTTTATATTTTGTCTTCCTTCTGACATGCTTGCATTTTTTCCTTTCTGTTTTCAAAGAAATGAAAAAAAAAGTAATTGACTTTTATAAAATAGATGAAACACAGCATACGTTTATAATTATTTCTGGAAATTGCAGTGCTTGTACAAATTATTGTAATAATTTAGAAATATTTATTTATCTTATTTTGGGACCAATGGGTGCCATTTGCAACGGTAGTGGATACACTTTGACTTTCCTGCTGATCTCAGGCATACAAAGAAAGTAGACTCTTAACATTCTTGCACAGTAAGATATACAGTATATCAGAATAAAATTAAATGAACACCAAAGGTGGTATTCAGCTGGTTCTCTCCGCTTTGGGTAAACTGGTAGTGGCGGCTGCAGGAGGCTCCAGGCACCCCAACGTAATGCACACTGCACATGCACAAAAGGCAGTGTATGTGCACAGACGCTTACTCACATTAGGGAAGATAAGGAGGGTAAATGAATCCCACCACTGATTAACACAGTGTAATTTGTGTGTTAATCAGCCTAGTGTTCAACATTCTGGTTTT